TGGAGCCCTTCGCCGGCGGGTCCCTCCCCTGGGCCGGGGCTGCAGTGGGTCTAGACCCCATGACGGTATCCAGCCAAGAGCAACCTAACCGGAAGGGTGCCCTCTCTCACTGGTTTTACCTGAGTCCAAACTCACATGGGCTCTTTTGGCAGCGATAGCTGTTTTAGGTCAAAAGTGTCCATCTTTTCTGTATGCACCATACATGAAGGCTCTGCTTTAACATCTGGCATACACCAAGCACCCTTTCAAAGGTGCCCCTGTATTTCCTCAAAGGAGCAGCACCTCAGGACTGCTCAGCACCCTGGTTGCTCAACATGTTCCATTGACCGAAAAGAAACCAAGTTCCCAGAAGTTAACTAGCATTCACACTTACTCAGCACTGCCCCACAAGACGCTGAGACGAGGTGGCCTCCAGGAGGTAGCGCGAGGGAAATGCCCTGATGCCAGCAAAATGCAGAGGGCAAGGCTCTTTCAAGACGTGCAGTGGTGTCTACCTGCCCAGGGTTAGGGGCCTGGCTCAGCAGGACCAGCGTTTACAGGGTGAGCACACTTAAGTCAGAGGGGTGACCCAAGTACCCCGACCCAGGCCTTGAACACCAGGGAGAATGCCTAGCAGTCCCCAACTTCCCCGGGCGATGGGGCTTGTGTCGGTGGGCAGGCAGGGCCAGTGTCTTGCAGACACAGCAGGTGAGCTTTCAGAACAGACCCCGTTTCAAAACTTGACCACCCTGTACCTGACCTATGAGGAGCCTGTGTTTAAATCTCTTGGGATGGGAATTCTTGCGTTTCTAAAAGCTCAGATTGAAAACACATCTTAACAGGAACCTATTCTGTGAAAGGTGAACTCTGAAGCTTCGATTGAGGCTGGGACCTAGTTGTCAGTGAGGTGGGGGGCCCCTAAAGCGGAATGTAAGAGCCAAGGGCGATACAAAGCACGGAGCCCAGCTCCGGCAGTCACCAAGGGTGCATGTCCCGTGAGCCCATTTACATGACACGTCCAGAGGCAAACCGCACTGAGGAAGATCAGTGGTTGCTTCAACTTCAGTGGGATGGGGAGGTGGGGGCATGAGGGGACAATGGCAAAGGGGTATCGGGTGTCCTCTTGAGGTTAATAAAAATGACTAACGCTACTAAGCTACTTTAAACAGATGAATTTTATGTACAGTATGTGAATTAGATCTCAATAAAGATGTTAAAAGAATTTAGTATTTAGTATCATTTATTACAAAAATAGTTGTTGAATACTGGTTTCTAAGGTTTGTAGTTATGTCCAACTTCCAACAAGCGAAAGGCAGGCGCAGAATTGCCCAAACTCGATCCCTGTGTCTCCCCAGCTGGGCGCGTGGTCAGAATCTTACGTCTCAGACTGAAGTAGGAGAATTTTATCAGCTGGACCGTCAAATTCGAACTCCCCACAATTAAGCACACTGGGGACAGGACTTGGGAAGGAGGGGCCCTCTCTGTTAGGACGGCAGAGCCCATGGGACGAGGGCCTGCCAGGCAGGGCGGCCTCACCGGCAGGGAGAGCGGTGGCCCTGGACCCTGGACCGTGAGGCCAGCAGAGCGGGTCAGGGTGGGCGGGCCATGCGCGGCTCCGCAGTGAACCCGGCCCAGGCAGGGCGGCGGCGGCAGCAGCAGCAGGAAGAGCGGTGGCCCTGGACCCTGGACCCTGGACCCTGGACCGTGAGGCCAGCAGAGCGGGTCAGGGTGGGCGGGCCATGCGCGGCTCCGCAGTGAACCCGGCCCAGGCAGGGCGGCGGCAGCAGCAGCAGCAGGAAGAGCGGTGGCCCTGGACCCTGGACCCTGGACCGTGAGGCCAGCAGAGCGGGTCAGGGTGGGCGGGCCATGCGCGGCTCCGCAGTGAACCCGGCCCAGGCAGGGCGGCGGCGGCGGCAGCAGCAGGAAGAGCGGTGGCCCTGGACCCTGGACCCTGGACAGTGAGGCCAGCAGAGCGGGTCTGGGTGGGCGGGCCATGCGCGGCTCCGCAGTGAACCCGGCCCAGGCAGGGCAGCGGCAGCAGCAGGAAGAGCGGTGGTCCCGCTCCACCAGGCCGTGCCGTCCACCAGCTGCACAGGCCTCAGGTACAAGGAGAAAAACCTTATTCATCTGGTGGCCTAGTTACAGTTGCTTTCACCTCAAAGAACTTTTCTAGGGTGGAGCACAATGGAGCTGGTCTATTCACACAAGTAACTGGTGATAATGGAGTGTGGCCACCTCTCTGGAACCCTGGAGCGTAGCAAGCTGCAGAACCCAGTGACGCGGCCCCAAAGCTGTCCAATGGGGACCATTCCCACCAGATCCAGGGGGAACCAATGGGGTTCAACTGAAGGGCTCAGCCACAATGACCCTACACTGAAAGAGCTTCAATTATTAGACCTAATTAGTATTCAAGCACCATTTTGAGAAAGGGCTACTTTAAATTGTCCTGTTTGGTGTAGACAAATATTTTACTTTTTGATTCAATTCAGACTTGTAAAAATAAAGCTGTTATTTCTTCCTTGGTTTAAGAACATGGTGATCAAGAGCTCCCCACCAATTTCATTCTGGGTCTTCGAACAAATGTTTGCCACTCTCGTAGCCGGTGCCTGGTGATCCCGTGGGCAACCCGTTACGGAAGAGGGCAGGGATGGGAGGCGCCCGGAGCTGGGGTGCCACTGGGGAGGAGGTGGGCACAGAATACAGACCCTTTAGATCAGAATATATTTGAAACTCATGTCACAGAATGTAGGTGTCATTTTTACTTTATTTAAGAAAACGGGGTGGAGAAACAACAGGAATTTTATAACACAGAGAAGGCAAGGTGGTGGCCTGGCCCCCAGTCTGCTCCGCAGCCGTGACTGGTGAGTTCCGGGCAGCCTGCCATTTGCATTACTGTTTAGCAAATTTATCACTGGCAAATTAGGGATTATGAATCACCAAAAGTGAACTACAATTAAGGCAAAACCTAAATAACCTACTAAAAACGTCAACTTAAAGTAAGCCATGCATATGTGGTGCACATGGTGTAACCGTTTCTGTAAACGTGTCTCCAACACCGCAGGTGCACGGGCACAAGGAAACGCAGTGTGGGCTCGGGGCTGCTAGTGAGCACAGCCGCCGCACTGTCAACGTCCACGTGTAGTGGTATCATCATAACACTGCTTTCTTCTGTAATTCTGCCATCTCGGCCCTTCTGTGACTTGCAACGCTTGCAAAGGAACAGAATCAGCCCTTCTCTCGAGGAATGCCACTTTCACAGCTCAGTGAGGTGTCTATGGAGACACCTCACTGGGCGCCTGCTTCAGGCCGCAACAATGCAGCCTGGCCGCCAAGGTGGGGCCGAGGCAGCACCACAGCCGGGGGCCAGCGACGGGGCCCGGCAGTGACCCCAGTTCTGCTCAGCTCGAACACCGCGTGCAGGGTGGGCACTGGGCTGTGCGCACAGGGCGGGCACGGTTTTACTTGAGCTCAGACCCCATCATATTTGAGGGGAGTCCAGTTTTTGACAAATTCTACACACTCAGTACTTCCAATACAAACACCTCCTGCATGACCTGTCTGACACCCCTTGCGTTCTCGACACTGAGGTTCAAGTCTGTTTAAAGTTAAGACCATCCTTCTCATTTTGTCCATGCTGGCAACAGAAGCTTAGTATTTTTTCAGACACCTCCTAACTTCCACCTCTCTCTAAGCCTGGGAAGGCGACACTGGACCTGGCCCCCGCTCCTCCTCCTCTTGGCACAGGCTCAGTGCCCACCGCATCGTGTCTGAGAAGCCAAAGCATGTACAGAGAGACACCAGCAACGACCTTTGACTGAAGCCCTGTGATGGTGGAACCTGGCCTACCTCAAAAGTCCCTTCCAAAGGTGGGACCAACTCTTCATCTTCCCTAGGTTAACTACAAATCACTCAAAAACACTGTTTTGTTCTGCTGGACATCAGCACTACTCCGAAGGGCACGAACGGACAGACCTTCCATCATCTTCGCCTTCCGAGGAAAATCTTTCCCAGCGAGCCTGCCTTTGTGGGCGTGTGCAGCCAGCTGCTGTCTGCGTCTGTGAGTGCATTTTCCACTTGGTTTTGTAATTCAAAGGATAACCTTTGGCAAAAATGCTGAGCCAAGAGCAAGAATCACAGCGGTCAAAACGGATGCCAAATGAGGTAAGAATGTTGGGCAGAGCCTTGGTGAACAGGAGCAAATGATTGTAAGTTCCCCATTTTCATGTTATAAAGAGAAATTAACCACAAGGGAGGATTAAACCCACGAAACACCACGCTTCTGTCTGGTGCAGTTTAGAGACCACCGTGAGACACTCCCCTCCGCACCCACGGGAGAGGGTGGCAGGGCGGGGCCAGGATGCTGGGCACGGTTCCTTCACCCAGAGGGACCTCCTCGGAGGGACTGAGTGACCACGGAGCCAGGAAACAAATCATTACCCAAGACATTTATTACAAATGCCATGAACATATTCATGAAGTAAAGTTGGTTTAAAAAGAACAAGAAAAGCCAGGGCTTTGATATTACACCCAAAACACAGGAAGATGCTCTCACAAATAAGCAGTATTAACTACATTCTTAAAATAGTTTTAGTGCACTGCATTTTTAGAAAAGGGAAATACCCCACCCCCCTGAAAGGTTCCTGCAACACTGATCAGTTGGTGTGACTATTCTAACATGACCACCTGTCTGCTCCCAAACCCCGAGCTGAGAACAAGGCCCTTGTGCTGGAGGCTGCAGACGTCCGACGCTCACGGTGAGCGCGGCGACATGAAGCTCTCGCTCTCTACACTCAGAAAGCAGACTGCATCAGTCAGCGTGATGAAGCCACACGGCCAGTTCTCTTCGGGGACAGTGTCTCATGTGCCTATTGAGACCTGTGACAGAATAACAGTCAGACTTCAATCTGATCGTTTTGGTATTAAGATTAAATTAAACATTAATGTTTTCCTCCAAAAACATATAAACTAAACCACCTCTTAATGCATTAAAACAATGAGGTAGGCAAAAAAAAAACAAAAAAAAAAAAACAACACACAACATGTGGTTGAAGACCGTGCCCTGTGCGCGTGCGGGCCGCGGGGCGAGCTGCCCGCGCAGGGTCGTGCGACTGTCCACAGCACAGCTCTGGCTGTGAGACAAACGCACACACTTTCTTTTTCCTTTTTTCTTAAAGAACCATCTGCACGTGATTTAGGCAAAACCTGGTACACAAAAAAATGACTGAGTTCTTGGCAGAGCCAAAAAAAAAAAAAAAAAGTTCCCCCAAAAAACAAAATGGGACCCCCTTAACCCACCCCACCCCGCCTCCCATGCCCCACCCACTAAAAAGTTATCCTAGTAACTGTGTCTTTCACATTTTATAAATATTAACTTCTTAAACCTGCCCCTTCTTCTGTCCACATATTGTCACATTACAAAAAGAAATGTCAATTAAATACATTGTTAACGTCACTATATTAAATCTGCTCTTGCTCCGGCAACCTGCTCGCTGAGACCCACACTCTCCACCTCCTGTGCCCACTCCCCAGGCACCCACAGCACCTTCCCCTCTCCTGTTCCAGACACCCCAGGACGTCACTCAGAGGCCAGGAGTCCTGGAGCTGAAGGAGGGGCCTGCTCTCTGGTCTGATGCTCGATCCACAACACTTATAGCACCTGATGGTAGAATCTGAACAGCACCAGCTGCATTGCAGCCTGATTTATTTTTGAGTAAGAAAAAAAATAAAAAAATAAAAAGGTCGGGGTAACTTGGAGGAAGGGCAGGAGGCGGAGGAGAAAGAGCCCCGCAGCAGTGTCCGCGCACACGGCTGTCCTGGACTGCCCGGCGCAGTCTGAGCTCCAGCTGCAAGTTCCAAGTTCCCAGGCGCTTGGAGACGGGCCGCGGTCCTCGCACAGTGACTCTACCAGCTCAGCAGAGAAGTCCTGCCTAACGTCATGAAATAAACCTGACTGCTGCCACCAGACCGGACAGAAGCAAAGAATACCTGCGAAAGCAAGAGAAAGGGCAGGGTTACCACCAAACAGCACCGCCTGTGAGCACAGAGCTCCCGGCGGCTCCCCGGCAGGAGCGGCCCCCACCTCAACACTGCCACACGCAGGAAGCGGAAACCCCGAAGGAAACGTGGAGGACACAACTTTTCATTTATCAGGAGTGATCATCTGTGGCCAATTTTTATTACAGCTAAGAAGGCTAATCAGTCAAATAACCCCTTGTGCATTGCCACAGTGTGACAATTTCACAAGATTAAAAAATGATGCTTCTGAAATCGGGCCATTTCTTTTACCTCCACTGCGGATGCCCTCCAAGAGATGGATGTGTTTAGAAAACTCAATGAACTACGGGGAGGACCCCTTTGCAACACGATTTTTCTATTTTTATTTATTTATTTATTTTTTTATCCTCACCCGAGGACATTTTTCCATTTTTTGTTCAGATAGAGCGGGAGGGAGAGAGAGGAAGAGAGAGAGAGAGAAACATTGATGTGAAGGGACACATCGAGTGGCTGCCACCCGCACGACCAACCAGGGCCGGGGACAAACTGCAACCGAGGTACATGCCCTTAGCGGGAACCGAACCCAGGTCTCTCTGGACCGCAGGCGGACGCTCCAACCGCTGAGCTAAACCGGCCAGGGCTGATTTTTCTCTTTTAAAAAATTAAGCTAGCCCTATCTGGTTTTACTCAGTGGTTAGTGTCCGCCTGAGGACCAAAGGGACTCGGGTTCAATTCCTGGTCAAGGGCACCAACCTGGGTTCGATCCCTGGCATTGGTCCAGGTCATGCAAGAGGCAACCAATTGATGTGTCTCTCTCACAATGATGTTTGTTTCTCCCCCACCTCCCCTGCCTCCCCCCCACTCTAAGAATCAATGGGAAAATATCCCTGGGTGAGAATTAACAAAAAATAAATAAATAAATAAGCTAAAATGTATTATTTATTTCATGACGTTACAAAGTAATTTAATTTTGTTCCTTTTATTAATAAACTTTGAGGGATATGGCATCACGAATTATAAAATTATTTAACAGAAGTTCAAAGAATTTCAAACTCATGGCTGTATTAAATACACTTGGAAAACATAAGCCAGAAAGCTGGTGAAATCCTGGGTGAGGTCTGAGGTGGTATGACTTTTCAAGGTAAAGATTTGGGAGATGTTACGTAGGAAAAAACATTACTCCATTAGCAGTGCTCTTCGGACTGCAGGAGAAAAGTGGGGTGCTGAAGAGAGAGCTACAGGTCCGCTGGTCACGCGGACTTCACGTCTGATCGGAGAAGTCAGCCTGCGGGACTATTTCAACGTGGAGCAGGAGGCGGAGATGCTCTTAGGAGGTGAGTGTCTAGGCTGCCAACAGCTGCCCCAGGCAGCGGGCCCGTCTCCACCCAAGGGCACAGGACAGAAGCTGGGCTTGGCAAAGATCAGCTCCTGCCTTGCTGGATGGCTCAGGAGTTGGAGCGTCGCCCGCGGACCAGAGACCTGGGTTTGGTTCCGGCCAAGGGCATGTACCTTGGCTGCGGTTCGTCCCCAGCCCCGGTTGGGGTTGTGTGGGAGGCAACCAGTCAATGTGTCTCTCTCACACAGATGTTTCTCTCTCCCCCTCCCTCCCACTCTATCTGAAGATAAACAGAAAAATATCCTCAGGTTAGGACTGAAAAAAAAAAAGATCAGCTCCCGCCTCGCTGTCCTTTCGGAAGCAGGCCAGGGTGACCCACAGCCTTGGCCATCTATCTGCTCCACTCCAACGCTGGTTTTGGGAATTCCTTGGGGGTGAGTAGGACAGGAGAGGGCAAGGATGTGGTCAGTTTGGGAAAAGAAAGGTTTTTTATCTTGGGGCTTGGATGCCCTGGGGTCTCAGATGCAGGAGGTACCTGTCTTTCTGCAACGATTTCCCTCAGGGTTTCTGACATGCACACTGGGAAGTTATTTCACTGCTGGAAAGGCAGCGAGCACAGGATCTTCCTGACACACGCGGGGACAGAGCCCCGCCTGCCCAGATCTGCACGGGTGGTTTCTCACTGCAACACCCCACCTGCCCCCACATGGCAGCTCAGCTTCCCGAGTCCCAAGCCAAACATCTGACAGGTCACCCAAAGGGGTTAAAACACTCTGTATGGTAATTTCTCCAGGGATAAACTTTCTCTATCACCTCATAGAAAAACAATATATCTATATATGCAACACACATCTCAACCCCCATTAACACGTCTAAAATCCACAACTAAAAAGTTCCTTGATGAATTATTTCAGAAACTATTGAATCCTAAGGAAAAGCTTCACCAAACTCCGTGAAAATGAAGCGCCGTGGAAAGGTGGCGGACGGAAGGAGCCGTGTCCGAGGCCCGTTACCTTGTCGTTGCGCTCACACAGGAACTTCAGTCTCTGCGCCCTTTTGTGCATGAACACACCGTCCAGGTGGCCTGTCTCCACAGACCGGATCTCTATGGCCTTTTCTCCCCAGCCCATCGTCTGATTGGATCGAATATATGCTTTTTGAGGCAAAACACATATTGTTAAAGATAAGAAAATAGCTGTGAAAAGATGCTTCTTATGCAACACACACACACACACACACACACACACACCCTAAACGTCTAGCATTTAAGAATTTTTGTTTTAAGAAACCCGGCCTTCTCTGTGAGCTCTCGGTCTGTCCTGAGAAGCCGACACTTGAATCAATGGGTGAAGGTGTTCATCTGCGAGGCACCTCCTGCCTTGCGCCATGACCACTGTGTGTACAGGGGAGTGCTCCGTCCCGGCAAGCCGGTCAGAGGGCGCAGGGAGAAGGAATGACAGGTGGACAGCGACAGTGACTGAACTGCAACCAGGGCAGTATGAAAGAGAACTTGAAGCCCCGGAGCCCGCGCCGCCCGCCGCCAGGCCCGCGCTGCCGGCTGCCACCAGGCCCGCGCCGCCCGCCACCAGGCCCGCGCTGCCCGCCGCCGCGCCCGTGCTGCCGGCTGCCCCCACGGACGCCTCCAGAACTGCAGGCTGTGTCGGGCTGGGGCTCTGCCGCCCCAAGGGCACAGCACACACCTTCCGTCTCCCTGTCCTTCCACAGTCATTCAACACCTGTCCCACTTCCCTGAATGTCTTAAGGATTAAGTGGAGGATTGTCAAGGACAAGAGTTTAAAAACATATTAATATCTTGGATTTTGTTCTAAAGCAGCCCGACTCCACAATCTAACTTCCCACCGTCCAGCACCAGCCACCCCCGCGGACAATGCCCGCCGGTTCAGACACACGCGCAGACGCCGCCTCCTGGCACCTACCCACGGAGGTGGGCATCTCCCCCCACTGCAGAACCACGTCCTTGGTGATGCGCCCGTACGTGTTGACGTAGACGCCCTCGTCCTCGTAGCACAGCAGCAGCTCCATGCCGTCCGTGTCGGGGAGGATGATGACCGCGTGCGGCTTGATGCTGCACTGGATCTGGAGGGGGGACAGAGCACAGGGCTCGGCAAGGCTGTCTCGGAGGATGCGCTGCCCGTGCCCCTGGCGATGGGCGCAGCACAGGACGACGTTTGGGACACCCACGCGTCCGTATCCCGCATCGTTTACAGGCCGTACTCCACGAGCTCACATTTCCTGAGGTCCCTGGAACATATCAAGGCTGTGGACTCCATTTAAGAAATTATGGTCCTCAAAGCACTCCCAACCCCGGGGTGTTCTGACCTACCAGCTACTGCCCCAAATCCATCCCATGTTAGTCAAAGCCAGGGCTAAGAGGTTTTCAGGAGGGCTTCACAGAGCCAGGAGGGACGGTTCCACTTGTCTCAGAGAGCATGGAGCTGTGGAAATGGCATGTCATTTAAGTACTCACCCCCACACCACCAGGGGCAGTAAGGAATCCCTGCTTGTGTTGTTAGTTCACTAAGCAGAGTAAAGAGAAAGTCAAAACAAAATGGAGCCAGCCAACCCACCACAGAGGGAGGGCTCTCTCTTACGTGTGTGGGTAGGTAAATGTCGTAGACGGACCCCGAGTCCACATCGACAGCATGGAACCCAGCGCAGGACCCGTAGATCACCTTCAGCCGCTGGCCCTCCTCCACAGTGAGGTCCACCAGCAGCGGCTTGTGGGCCAGCTCTCCAAACGACTGCGAGGCAAACAGGAACCCAGGGGCAGTGAGCGAGTGACTCACTTCCCACAGGGCAACTAGGGAAGCCAGTCCCCAGCTGGCCAATCCCTGAGCCCCCTGGCAACAATCAATGGTAACAACACTCGAAAAACACATTTAATTTAACATGCTTTTGTCTGTTAACAAGAATCTAGAAAATACTTCTTCCAGAAGCCATGTCCCAAATTCTCCCTACCGAGTCCACGCATTCTGCTCTGTCACATGTCTCAGTGAGAAAACACGCAGAGAAATGACCGGGGATCCCCACGGCACACTCTCCAACTACGCGAATGCAGACCACGGGCTGCAGAGTCACACTGAGAATTTACCAGGAGGCTCGGCACAGTCACTACGGCTTCTACTGACACTATCAGACTTCTGCTTGCATGTGTGACCCCAGGGACAGTGACAAAGGGGTGACATGCAGCCTGGAGGGCCTTATCCCCGTTCACATCAGCACCTACAGCTCACTGGGCAGATTCAAATAATTACTGAAAGCAGCTAGTCTAGAGCCTATAACATGAAGATTATATTAAGAGCAAGTCTCAGATGATTATTATTATTTCATATCCAATTACTTTCATTCAATAATATGCAGACTTACTTTTTAAGCAAATATGATACCCATTTATCCTGCTTTACTAGGGATCAAGGAATAAGCCATCTAAATATATCAATTTCCCAAATAATTAAAGGCTAACCTGAATAAGATATATCCAAACTATTTTTAAAATAAGTAAATAGAATTATTTTGGATGAAAAATTCTTAATTTCTCACCATACATGAAATAGTCCGAGGGACTATGCTTAAGGATCTGTGTCTAATATTAGAAAGGATGTTAAGTTATTTATACTATCTAATGTCACAGCACAATCATTTAAATTAAGTGTCATAAATTTGTATCTAGTGCAAACGCAAAATTTTTTTAAATATCAGAAATACTCATATAAAATAACAATATTTTTCCACATTTTTCTTAAAAAAAAAAAAAAAGTGGTACACTACACATATTTTACTCTGCTTCTCTGTTTAAGTTGTGACTCTGTACCACGCATTCCTGTGTTGTTAAGAATGTCTGTAATTTAATTCTAACGAGCACTTGGCGGGCACTTTCCTGTCGTCTAAATGTCCACGCACGTCCATGACGTCAGGTGGGGGCCGAGGCTGCTCTGACGTGGAAGTGCTGCTGCTCTGTTCTCTCCTGTCACCACAGTGACCGAAGCGTCTGCACGGCACCTGGCCCCACTGCCCACTCCGAGGGCCGAGACGCAGAGAGCGAGGCTTATGACATGAGCCATGCCGCTCTTATGAAAAGTCACACCCTGTTCAGTGATCAGTTTTAACTGCTGAGGGTTTTAAACGTGTTCCCTGGCTCTGGGTCACAGCACAGCAATGCCCTTTTGAATGCCCCTGATGTCGTTACCTTGAAGGCCATGAATTTGTGGTATGGCTTGGGTGCCCACGCGTAAACTTCCACAGAACTCTTCAAAGCGATTACGAGAAATTTGATTCTTTCATATTTTACTAAAAAAACAGATAAGAGAAGCACAAATCAGTATCAACACGGAACTCTAAATTCTTTGGGCTGTCTTCCACAAACTTTATAAAAATGACTTCTACTGCCCTGGCCGATTTGGCTCAGCGGTTAGGGCGTTGGCCTGCGGTCCAGAGAGACTGGGGCTCAATTCCCGCTAAGGGCATGTACCTCGGTTGCAGTGTGTCCCCGGCCCTGGTTGGGCCCTATGGGAGGCAGCTACTCGATGTGTCCCTTTCACGTTGATGTTTCTCTCTCTCTTCCTCTCTCTCCTTCCCACTCTATCTGAACAAAAAACAGAAAAATGTCCTCAGGTGAGGATAAAAAAAATGACTTCTGATTCATGCAAACCAACAGGCGGAAATGCTGAGGGTCCAGCTCAGTGCCCTTCCGAGCCCTTCCACGTGTGAGCCCGGCTGTTCCGAGTTCTTGCCGCTGTGCTGACTCAGCTCCCACACTCTGCTACCGCCAGTGAGTCCTTCCACTGATGTGTCTGACCTCCTCATACTGTCAGTGTTTAATCATCAAGGGCAATGCCAAGCACACCACCCTGGCCTCTCAGCGGCTCAGTGTCTGTCACTTGAGAAGGGCAGTGACACTAGTCAGTCAAGAAGCTCCCAAGCCATAGCAAGAGGCCGAGCCTTCCCCGTGCCTTGTCCTGAGCCCTGCGTGGAGCTCAGAGGCTGAGGCACAGACGACCACACCAGAGCACTCGCTGACCGAGGGAGGCCCAGCTGTCTCTGCGTGGAAGCCCCCGTATCACTTCAAACCACTTCTTGACCTGTAGAGGTAGTAACTGCTAGGATTCCACCTCAAGTTCTGAACCAAAAGAGCAGTAGTGAAGAAAATCTCTCTTCAACTATCTACCTATACTTATAAAAAACATATGCAGACACACACGTACAGACACCTCCTTGACAAAGCTGTTTACTTACAGCCAGCCAGCTCTGCTTAAAATAAACACAAACACTCAGAGGAACCCTGCGCACGTGTGACTTGCTGGCTGGGTCAGACCCGGCGGTTTCTAAGTGCCCGATCTCCACGGTGACTGGACTGCCCCTCTGCAGGTGAACGTGAGTGACCTGTCCACTAGAAAGGGTGAGGACTCTGCACAGGGTGCGCCGGGGGCCAGGGCACACACAGGACACAGCGAGCAGCAGGGAAGCTCTGGGGGTGCTCGAAGGTGCCCCGGCCCAGCCGTCTTCAGGATCAGATGGTGCCTTAGAAACGTAACAGTAACGAGCCACACACACCACAAACAAGCTCATTATTGAAGGCTTTAAAGAATATGTGCCCTGCTGGCACTCACCAACTTTATAGTGCACACACCCTTCCAGGTCGCCGACGGTCGTCCACCCCTGCTTCTTCTCCACCTCCGGGTCATTGTGCAGGATCTTATTCCTCAACCAGGACAGATAGTAGACACGTAACTTATCCTTTTTGCCTAGCGAAACAAATAAAAACATTTTACACACATATTCAAAAGCAGACGTCATCAATAACAACAGCAACTAAAATAAATTCAATAAATAACAACTATCTTCCTGCTAAGGGAATAATTTTGTATCAGTTTTACCAGAAACTCAATTCAAGCTTTTCAGATGGACTTTGAAACTCAAGATTTATCACAGTTGTACCCTGAGTTAGAAGGAAAGATTTTAAAAAGAATAAAGAACTCGCACTTATGTAGACGAACAGTATCAATAAGCCAGTCACCTTCACAGTGACACAGTCAGCAGAGCTTGTAGGGTGCTCTCACACGTACTGTCTTCTGATTCTCAAAGCCCTCAGCACAGCGATTACTTCCCACTCGACAGCACAAGGGTTACACAGATCACCCAGCAGGCTGAGTCCCCCAAAGGTGAGCCACCCTGGAGATGTGCGCAACTCACAAGCCAACAGAGGACTTGCCTCCAAAACTGCAAAGCGCGCTGAGAAACCGGCCACGGAAGGGGGCGCCGCAGAACAAGCAGGAAGCCACCCCCAGGCACACAGGGAGGCCCGCTCCCAACAGCCAGCAGTGAATGCAGGTTCACCCCGCGATGCGGTGCGGCCCCCACGCCCGCCAGTGCCGAGAATTGAAGGAGCAGGGACACTTGAAAACGGGGGTGACAAGGAACGTCGGTGACTCGTGCGGAAATGGTGAGAACCACTGTGAAAAGCGTGGCGTCATCTATGAAAGTAGGACATACGTGTACCCAGCCAAGGCCCAGTGATTTCTCTCCTGATATACATGTGTCTCTGAGCCCCAAATACGAGCACGAATGTCTACAGCAGCACTGTTCCTAACAGGCCCCCAGGGACAACACGAGCCTGGTAACAGTGGCCGAGTGGCGAATTCTGATGGGGTCACACACAGGAACAAGAAGGAACAGATACAGCTAAAAACAACCACACACACAAGACGCTGAGCAAAGCCACCAGACACTCACATGAAGCTACAGAAAAATCCTACGATCCTATGAATAGGTGTAGAAAAGCATTTGACGATACCCAGCACCCATCTCGTGATAAAAGCTCTAGGCTAGCCCTGGCTGGTGGCTCAGTAGGCTAGAGCACTGTCCCACGCACCAAAAGATTGTGGGTTTGATTCCCGGTCAGGGTACAGGCCTGTTTCAGGATCAATCCCCAGTTAGGGGTGTGCTGGAGGCAGCCGATCAATGTTTTTTTCTCTCCCTCTCTCCTCCCCCCTTACTCTCTCTCAAATCAATAAAAAAAATATATTTTTAAAAAAGTCAACTGCTTTCCTATATACTCGCTAAAGCAGTTGGAAATCTTAAACAGTGTGAAAAGGCTCCATGCTTATGACTCCAACATCATCATTCTGGAAAAGGTAGCAGAGACTGTACAAAACATCAGTTGTTGCCAGGGGCTCGGACCAGGGGTGAGCAGGTGAAGCCGGGGGTTTCCGGGCGGTGACGACGGTCTGCGTGACACTGTGACGGTGGACAATCATGCACTTGTCGGAACCCACAGAACACACACCACCAAGAGTCAACCCCGATATAAACTACAGACTTCAAGTAGCCAGACACCTGCCATTTTACTGCTTATATGACTTCAGTCCAATGAAAACAAAACCAATCTAAGGCGCTCTGTGACAAGCAGGTGGCACGAGGAGCTTCCAGGGTGGGGCCACATGGACGAACACTAATTGTGACAATTCACTGAACTCTAGACTTATTATCTGCGGACTTGTATACTATGTCTTATACTTTTTAAGTATGAAGAACTTGGGAAAATATTCAATATGTTAAGTGAAACAAAGACCACACGGTTTTGTGTACAGTGTTTTATTTCCATATTGAGATATATTTATAGAAAAGAGAAGAAAATACAATAAAATGTTAACAAGAGTTATCCCAATATAGTGGTAACATTTATTCTTCCTAAGTTTTCCTATTTTAAAAGCTTCCTAAAGTTGACATGTGTTATTTTTATGATTTTGAAAACCATTAAAAGCTACTAAAAAAGAATATGGAAAATCAGACCCAAAATTATCACTGGTACCAGCTGATTATTAATCTCCATGAATCACCCTGTTAACTGGATCACAAAGTCAACTCTAAACCATTCTCCTTGCAGATTTTTCTTCCTGTTTTTGAACCTCCTCCTCAACACTCTAGTTTTAAATGGTTGTTTCTCATTTAAGTGTAACAGTGAAATTTTTGCATTTCAACAAACACCTTTACTTATAACCAAAAGCCTATTTGAGAACTTAAAGATATACGTTACATATAAAACAAATGTAACAAGCTTGAGTTAGCAGATAACTAAATCAAAATTGCTGCTGAAAGACCTTTATATAAAGTCTTATAATTTTCATACTCTTTGACCCCAGCACTAACACAAGTTATTAGGAAATTATGATGTATGAAACATGAATGTGTATGCCCAAGGTTAAGTAAGCTACAAAGATTTGTGTGAAACATGTTTATATGAGGGGGAGGAATAAACGGAAGCCTTACAACAGAAGAGGAGTGAATCAATACTGGCACATCCATATGGAGAACACTCAGCAGCCATGTACGGTGGGTGTCACGGGAGAATGTCCAATGACACGGGAAGAGCTGCTGCCTGGTGGGAGCCAACAGAGCGGACAGCGCACACCCTGAGCTCAGGAGAGCGGCTCCCTGGAAGTGGGAGGAAAGGGATGCTAGCTGCAGGTGTGTCTGCACATATGGATATGTGTTTTAACATCTGTTAAAAAAACCAGCCAGTCAGTATATGGGTGTCCTGGTTTCTTATTATTATTGTCTGAATGTTTGAAATATTGAAAAACCATTTTTATGCAGATTTTTTACCCCATGAGTGTGTGTATTTTGAGTTGATTATGCTTAGAAGACTGGAAGTTAAAAACCGAAACGTGGCCCTGGCCGGTTTGGCTCAGCGGTTAGAGCGTCGGCCTGAGGACCAGAGAGACCCGGGTTCAGATCCCGCTATGGGCACGTGCCTCGGTTGCAGTCTGTCCCCGGCCCCAGTTGGGGTTGTGTGGGTGGCGACCAGTCCATGTGTCTCTCTCATATCGATGTTTCTCTCTCTCTCTTCTTCCCTCTCCTCTTCCTACTCCATCTGAAGATAAATGCAAAAATGTCCTCGCGTGAGCAAAAAAACCCCCACCAAAACATTAATCCATGTTCTCTTGGGATGATTTTACATTTTATTTCTCCTACTAGATTTTCTGCAGTAATTGGTTACCTTTAATAATAAATATAATTTGTACTAAAAAAGGTGCTCTTTCTAAAAAAAAAAAAACCTTATGGTGTTAACTAACGTAAGAAAAGAACACAGTTCCTCTGCATGAAAAATAGCCGGAGGAAGAAGTGAACACAAGCCTACACCTGGATGCGCCGGATCGAACCCAGCAACAGCAGAGGGCAGAGCGCCTGTGTGGGAGATGCCATCACCACGTGTGCCTGGGCTTTTCAAGACTGCCCTCCAGGGAGCGAAGGGTGCACATGGAGGTCACCTCTGGTACAGCTGTATCTCGTTGAGCCATGACTTCAGAAAAGGAGGTAGCTGAAGGTCAGTGCTAGAACCCTGCTTTACTAAACAAATACTTACCAGATATTGTCACCAAGACATTCAAGCCTTCAAGGACGTCCATCTGCTGAAATCGTCTTCGGCTGATCAGAGGGTACACCTTCCCTTGGCCACTTCTGTCCAACAGCATCAGGCCGCTTTCTGTGCCCACTAACAAATTCACACCTGCATGAAGGACAGAGAAAGGCCTGATGTCACCCTGCTCGGCGGGCGCGGGATGGTACACCATCTACCTGGCAGAGCGGCTTCCTAACTCGCCCACAAGAAGGAAGGCTCGGCACAGACACAGGTCAAAGTACTCAAACGGCAGCACATCGCCACAGAGATGTGACGCTGACGTATTTACTCACATGTAAGAAAGGATGTAAGGGGAACATGAGCAAGCCCCATCCCCTGTTCCCGCCACAAGGCACCCATTCCCGCGCTTCCTCAGACCCCCAGGATGCCCGGGCTCACCACCTCCTTGGCACTGCAGGGTCTACATGTGACTGGGCACACAAGACACCTGAACACACCTTTGTCCCGACCCCTGCAAGCTCCCTCCCTCTGCCGTTATTCTCCTGGAATGGCTGTATGCAGCCCCGAACGCTTCAGTGTTCGTGACTGATGTGGCTTCCATCATTCAGCTTAAGGTTTTCTTAAAGACCGTTTGCCATCATCATCAAGAAAACAACAACTGCTCTCAGCCCTCCGTCCCCCAGCTTCTCAGGAAAACTGAAATCCTGTGACCTCCTGGGGCACCCACCTGATTTTCTGACCCCAGGTTCAGTCTCCTTCCGCGTCCCCACGCACCTCCTCTCCTGGATGCTGGCCCCTGGAGCAGCACCCCTGAACCAAGAACTCCTCATTCCACTCCCTCCCTCCCTTCTGCTGCTGTCCATGTCCACTGAAACCAGCGTCTCGGCCTCTGCCGCCTCCATCCCACGGCTGCCTCACACCAGCCACGGGCCACCCAAACCAGAGCCCGCCTTCCTCGCCCTGGCCTCCGCTCCAGCCCCTTACAACTACGGACAGAGACGGGCCCTCGCTGCACGTGCTGGCACATCCTCCCTTCCTGGCATCCTTGCCGTCACACTGCGCCTTCAGAACCACTCCCCAGGTCGAGGGGGGCACAGAAGCCTTGACTGAGCATTCTAACTCTGCCCCTTGAGCCAACCGACTTCCTCTTCATCATTCACTTACTTCCCCAAACGCATTCTCCCTCAGTCTAAACGAACTTTGCAGCCTGTGCTGAGGTCATCTTACATTCTCAGGGCACGGGGCACACACACCTGCACTGATTCCCTGAACTGGGCAGTAACATCACAGACCAGACATGAAGCATTTGGCCTTCACAAAGTAAATGCTCAATCAGTATCTTCTGATAGAGGAAACGACACAGAACAAGTATGTATTTCTCAAACCCCATGACCCATGTTTTATTACACAAACCCTACTTCCAGAACACTTCAAATGAACCACTGTGAAGGCAATAAGAAAACACCCTCCCGCAGTCTCTCAGCTCTGTGCCTGCTCCGAAATGAGCAGGTGCGACCCCACCGAAGCAATACCAGTGAGGGGATGGGAGCACCTTGTTGGGTCCAGGAGAGAAGGAGGAACCTGGAATTTACCTATGTCCTCACTTCCCTGCTATTCGAACTCAAATAAAAACTTCAGTAACTCATAGTGTGCACGTGGACCGCTAGATATGCAGAAGTTCGTCCTCAGAAAAGGGAGAACATGTAGACAGATCTTCCTGAGTTCCGGACACAGCTGGCTTCTGATAAGCGTGACTGACGAATGCCCCATCACAACGCCATCGGCACACGGGGAGTCTCCTCACCCTTGTACAGGGGGCCTCTGACAGGAGCCCCGACAACACCCCAGAGCACAGGTGCTTGTGTCCAGTGTTAGTTTAATGAGACAGTTTGTTAGAGCCTGGTGTACTATGAAATAGCTTCAGAAAATCTGAGGGAAGCCTCTGGAATTCGGGGGGAAAGGGAAAAAAACCTGAGTATTCACTGCCTAACTCAAGAGAACCTTAACAATTAAACACAACTCTGAAAATAGAATCATTTGTACAACACAAGGAACAAGGCTTTAAGTGCACACAGCTCCTTCTATCATCTGAAAGCAGGATTTTAGGATGCACCATCGAAGCCAGCCCTGACCAACAGATGTCCAGTATGTTAGCCAATGGCCACGTGTGGCTGCTGAGTATTTGAAACGTGGCCGGTCCAACTGAGCAACAGAACTTTCTACTTTAGTTCATCTAAACTTAAATGGCCACATGAGGGTAATGGCCACCATAACAGCAATTGTAGCTAAGGATGGATTTTATTAATCAGGGAAAATCATGGCTTCGAATTATAGCTCATGGCATTACACTTTTCAGGCTTATAACAGCCATTGTTTTACAAAACAAAGTAACTCGATGCAAGACAAAGAAAGGGCTGTCCGCCTTCGTAGACTCAGTGTCAGCAGGAGATGCGGACGCCCTCGCAGCTCCACTCGCTCCCGGTCTGACTCTGCAGGCCGGCCGTCCTCCCGCGAGCACCGGCAGAGCGGAGTTCCTCTCCGCGCCCGCCCGCCGCACACCTGGGCCAGGTGTTCTAAAGAGCTTGGGAATGATTTGCAGCAGATAAAACAAACAGAGCCCATTCCCAAGGTTTCGTTTCAAGTAATATTTCAGTATTTTCCTGGTCAATCTCCAGTATCAAGTACCTAAAAATATCTATATCAAGAATCTGGTAATAACTACCCAAAACATGACCCTTGTGAAATCTTCTATTATTTGTGGTTTCCAAAATGAAACAGCATTCCAATAGCAATCACAGCTTTGCGTTAAGAAGGAATAAAGAGCCCTGGCCAGTTTGGCTCAGCGGTTAAGCGTCGGCCTGCGGTCTGGAGAGACCCGGGTTCGGTTCCCGCTAAGGGCACGTACTTCGGTTGCAGTTTGTCCCCGGCCCTGGTTGGTCGTGCGGGTGGCAGCCACTCGATGTGTCCCTTCACGTCGATGTTTCTCTCTCTCTCTCCCTTCCTCTCTCTCCCTCCCACTCTATCTGTACAAAAAATGGAAAAATATCCTCGGGTGAGGATAAAAAAATAAAATAAAAAATAAAAAAAATAAAAAAAGAAGGAATAAAGAACGAAACGATAAAGCTGAAAAAAATCTTTTCCCATACACAAAAATTGCAGCTAATTCAGACTCACGCCCTGACTGCCCATCCTCCCATCTTCGCCGCTCAGGGCCATGTGCCGAGGGCCCTGGTCTGAGGCATGTGGTCAAGCCAGTCCCTGGAAAATGACAGCCCAGGGAATGATGGACCTACAGAAACAATTAGGTTTCATGCTGCAGTCATTTTTTATAAATACAGTTTAAAACCTTTTGTCTGTTAGATATAATTAAACTTTGGCTCATTTTTCAGATGTAAGCTATACTAGGAACTGCAATTATACCCAGAAAAATCTAGTGTACATTAATGGGAAAAATGGCTATGAGCTATATAACATGTGATTTAAAATTTCCTTTAAAGTCCATGATAAATGATGACATTATTATAGTTACCTAACTGCAGATAACTCATTATGAATGTAAGAATGGAGGCAAGCATGTTCAAAAGATGTGTTAAAATAATCCTGACTGCAAACAGGGAAAATGCCTTATTAAAAAATATAATAAATATGGCCCTGGCCAGTTTGGCTCAGCGGTTAGAGCGTCGGCCTGCGGTCCGGAGAGACCCGGGTTCGGTTCCCGCTAAGGGCACGTACTTCGGTTGCAGTTTGTCCCCGGCCCTGGTTGGTCGTGCGGGTGGCAGCCACTCGATGTGTCCCTTCACGTCGATGTTTCTCTCTCTCTCTCCCTTCCTCTCTCTCCCTCCCACTCTATCTGTACAAAAAATGGAAAAATATCCTCGGGTGAGGATAAAAAAAAAAAATATAATAAATATGCACCAATTTATAAAACAAAAGTCAGTTATACGAGGTGATTAAAACAGAACGCATGATGCAAGCACTTCCCGGAAGGTACGGATGACAAGGCAGCGACACGGCAGCAGAAGGGACGCCTCTGTCCACTCAGGAACGCCAGAGCCCTCCGGCTCTTCCCCTCCTGGCTACACCTCTCACAGAACCTGTTTTACCTTTTCTGGGTCTAAGACTTCAAGAGGCTTGTTTCTAATTTAACAGGTAACTCATGACACCATCACAGGCAGAGGAGGGCGCCCCCTGCTGCTGCGCCCCAGCCAGGGAGCAACTCAAATATGATTTATAGAACGTATTTCAACTCGAAGACACCTCCCAATCTCTTCTTTTAACATACTGATAGAATGGAAAGTTCCACTTTGTTTTTAAAAATGTATGCTTCGAGATACTCTCCTAGTTTTCTCAGAGGTATTAAAAAAGTTAGTTAGGAAAAAGAAGGATTTTAGTTAAAAAAAATTTGTTAATGGCTTGGAGAATGGGGCCCGTTCATCTGCAGGACACAAGAGGAACATAAAGTTAAGTGTGAGATTGCTCCCAGCAGAAAATTATGGACAAAAATAACTTCAATTCCTAAAAATTAATACATTTAACACTGTTTCCACACTGGACCGACACATTCGTGTCTGGTGGCATGCCCGCGGTGGGCGCCTGAGCCCGAAGCCCCCGTGGCTACTGTCTCCTTCACCTACAAAGGCTAATGAAGAAACGTCCTTATGAACACTAGGGGGTTTAAAATACAGTGATACCTCGGTTCTCGAACATAATTCGTTCCAGGAGGACGGTCGAGAACCAAACTGTTCGAGAACCGAAGCAATGAAACCCAATAGGAAATAATAGAAACTGGATTAATTCGTTCCAAGCCCCAGAAAATGCCTATTTACTGGCCTAATTTGTATATAATATGTAGAAAAACGTAAGTCTCAACAAGAAATAAAAGTGTACAGTATGTCTAAGGGTTAAATTCAGTGTAAAGCGTGACTCTCTGCACAAAGCGTGACTCTCTCTCTGCACTCACACTGAGGACGCGAGCAAGGCGCGCTGGGCCGAATGAACGCCATTCGGCTCAACTCGGCTCATCTCGGAAGTTCGAGTTCCAAATATTTGTTCGGATTCCAAGACAAAAGTTTCTCGAATCTCCTGGTCGAATACCGATTTGGTCGAAAGTCAAGGCGTTCGAGAACCGAGGTATCACTGTACTAGCAGTGACAAGGACAAAATCCAGACCTCAAGGAATAAAAAAGCAAGTAGGTGTGTCTGCAAAGGGTGGTGACAGCCCTTCCTGACCCTTGGGAGTGGGCTGAGCAGGAGCTTATGAGGGGAAAGAGAGGTCAGGGAATGATAAGGCCCAGAGGTGGCGAGGAGGAAAGTCTATCCGTTGCATGGCCCTTCTTCAACAACAGGATGAGGAGCACCCTGAGGGTCAGAGGTGAATGCCGCGGCTCTGGTGTGAGCCTGGATCATTCAGGCAAGTGGGGTGGCAGGGTGGGGAAGGGGAGCTGGCTCGGTGCCTGTGGGGGTGCAGCGGCTGTCGAGGACATTCCAGGAACACCCATGTTAAGGAAAGTGTGCTATGGACTCAAACCAACGAATGCACTGCATGTGTCCTACCCGTCTGTGCTTGCAATGTCAAAGTGTGAGAAATGTCTCTGAGTAGAAGCAGGGTCCCTGTTAGAGCAGCTCTGGAATGCAGGGAGGAGGAGAACAAAAACAACTATGCCCAGGAGCAGGACCTGTGGGAGTGAGGAGGGGACAGACGAGGGATGGCAGAGAAACGAGCGTCAGAATGCAGACCCCGAGCCCTGTGCGTGGCCCGCTCTCCTCTCGAAGGGCGTCACACACACGGCGAGTGTGCAGCAGGTGAAGGGTCCGCGCCCTCGCAGATGTGGCCAGTGGCAGACTGCATTCAGAAGCTTCAGCTGAATGTCAGGCCCAAGGCACAGAGCACAAGGGAAAATGTGTTCAATGGGAACAATGAACAAAAAGCAATTCAAAAAATTTCTCCGTTCTTTTTACTTTGCTTCTTTACATGAAGAAATGGAGATGAGTCATTCTTTCCAATACCCGATAGCAGAATCAGGGGCCTGCAGACCGCGCAGAGGAACAGGGATGGGATCACAGACGTCTGCCATCTCATCTGTCGACAGCTCTTCAAAAAGTCCCCACACTGTCCCCGCGGATTTCTCTGAAAGCCAATCTACCGACTGGAATAGGACCAAAAGGCCCGCTCAGCTGCGAGACACCTACCCCACAAGGCAGCACACAGAATCTCAGAGTTAAATCTCTTCTTGTATTTGCGGATCTCTGGGGTGTCACTCTGTGGCCTAGTGTTGGTTGGATTCACATTGACCACTGAGCCTTTCCGGGTCGGATCTTGCCTTATGGCTTCTGGTCTCATTCCATCACAGGAAAATCCCACTGAAACACAGGACACGTGAAATTACTTTCTGTACATGCCAACACTGCCTGCCTCCCTCCCCCACATCACTGAGGAAACACTCGTGTGCCACAACTGAGGTTTTGTCCAGGAAGATGAATTGGTAGGAGATGAATATGGAGAGAGGAAACCAACCATGCAGCTCACTGCAAACAAGGCAATGCAAGCGGGATGGGCTTCGTGTGCCCGAGGCCCGAGCCACGGTGCCACCATGCCGCATAAGCCACTGGAAAGAGCAGCGCAAAAGGACCAAGTCCTGTTGTCAGCTGCTTCCCAGCAGCTGCTTTACTTACCCACAGAAGTCACTGTTGTCCCGCTAGATGGAGAGATCTGCAGTAATCTGGGGTCTATGAAAGGTGTAAAGGAGGAGGAGGATTTGTGTTTCTGGAGTGTGCTACTAGCGGACTGAGTCTGCAATGTAAATTTCAGTTTTATTAATACAATGACATGATAAAGACAAACGTTATAACAGTTCAACCCACTCCTACACTGCACTGCTTCCCAATGCAAGGCGCTGGCCCTGGCACGGCCCTGCAGCGGGCTCTCGAGGGGCCTCCGCGTGCTCGTGGCTCTTCTCGGGAGCATGCTCCCAAGACAGGGACGCCGCCTGCTACCCATGAGGTCTGCACTCCACGCTCCCAGTTTTTTAAACAAGGATAACAAAAACTCCTACAGGAGGTTTGAAATGCCTTGATCTCAGTTCATCAATTTCTGAATTTACTCTCCTGTCCAAAAAAGTCCAACTAATTTATGTTGGAATCTTGACAAATCTTAATTTTTTATCATATATTATAAAGTAAGCCTCTTGCCAGACAGCTACAGAAGCATTGGCTACCATCATTCGGATGCATCGTCATTAAACCCGTGTCAAACAGGGCTCATTAGTGAAGGTGCAAATGACAAAAGCCTAGTCCTTGCTCTTTTAGGAGCATGTGTTTTGGTTAATAATGTAACTTAAGAGAAGAAAACACAAGGAAAGTGAAACAAATTGTTAAGTGAAAATGTAATGACAATTAAAAACAAAACAAACAGAAAAATAAACTTGCCAGTTTAGTGAGTTAAGGGTTATAATAAATACTGTACATTAGAGCAAAATGGAGCAAAGTTGAAATATAAATACAAGGAGGAATGTGCGTGCAGGTGGGATAAATCACTGGAGAAAAAGAACGTGTCTGCGCACTTCTGTCCTGTACCCTTTCTCCCACCGGGGCAGCTGAGGTCACCGTGCCCACAGCCCATGCCTTCCTCGGCTCCCGGGCTCTCTGCTCCCAGCTAACTATGCTGCCTGCTAGCAGGTGTCCTGCCCTTGTCCCATGATCAGTGGCCAGTCCAGCCAATGGCCAACCTGATGCTCAGCCTGCCTTGGAAGCAGTCGACTTGCCCCTGCTCCTCAGGGGAGAGGGTCATTCTGATACTTCCCAACGAGGGAATCACAGCTGAAGCAGGTGGGCGGGCCAGCAGCTAGATGTTCACAGCAACAAGACTGGCTGAGCTACGTGTCACTTTTAACCTCCTTCGACTATTAGACAAATGCATAAGTCAAACCTCCTATGAAATCCAATCACTTGTTGAATTCAGGGACAGGTGCTCAAGGTGCACTCTGCCATTGTACTTGTGTGTGTGTGTGGGGGGGGGGGGGGGCACAACCCTGTTCCAAAGAGCAAAGAATCGCCCAGCTAGCACGAGAGAGAGCACCACAGCCAAGCCTTCGAGTGAGCACACAGGCTTCCCCATTCAAAGCTTTAAATTAAAAACACACTAAGACCTTCTTGCATAGCATCCTAAATTTTTAGGTTTCCCCAAAAAACATTTGGCCTCTTCTTTAACTCTGAACGACTATGAAGTTCGGGGAAAGAAATCCTTGAACAGGGTTGGTGAAAACAGAGTAACCAACCCACGATACCTCCCACGTAGAGAGCAATCCAGCCCTGTTTGAATAAAACTCCTGTTCTGATGACAAGTTTGTCCAGATAAGGTCAAGTGTACGTAACCAACTCTTTCTGTTTTATTTATTGGATAAAAATAAGAAAGATTCCACAAATGATTCTAAGAGTTTCATGTCAAATACATAATGGATCTGAGAACACAGCAATCACTTTAGACTTTTAAAAATAAACTGAATACAGAAAGCCATGCAACTACACTGATCTAGAGAAAGGGAACGGTGAACTGGCAGGTTGGAGGGGGACTGATCCAGGTTATGAGGTTTGTATGCGGATCTGAAACATGTTACTTGGGGGTCGGGGAGAAGGGTAGGTGACAGAAGAAAGCGGGTGGGGAAGGCAGGGTAGGGGTGTTGAAAAGGTTTCCTCTGCAAACTAACTACTAGGCAGTGCTGGTCTAACCCTAGGAGAGCAGCCAGCTTGGTGGTGCAAGACATACCTCATTAGTAGTGAGCTTGTCCTGGGGTGTCTGTGGGGACATGGTGGGTGTCGGCTGGCTGGAAGATGGGGAGGAGGAGGTGGAGGAAGTGGAGGAGGAATGGCTTTGCTGTAAGAGATCTGGCAAGAGGTGAATGCGACCGGCAAAGCCATTGCTCTCATGATGGCTGGCACGCTTTTGGTCAACTGTACTCTGTAGAAAAAACAGGCACACTTGTCTCGCTCAAGCGCTGCTGAAATTGCCTATGACCCTACTGATAACTGGCTTTGCTCAGGTGCAGTGTGACCTCTCAAACTGCTCCCGCATCCGGGGGAGACCGGAGGAGCCCATGGAGCTGCTCCCACATCCTTGCTAAGTGTCTAAGCTGAGCCAACGGAGCACTGTGCGCCTCAGCAAGTGGCATCAGGCCTGGGCGAGCCGAGTGGGCACATCTGAGCTCCAGCTGCTGTCACCGAGTCACCAGCAGTGTCTTTCTTTTCAGATCTTTCTGTCTAAAGCTCTAGAAAATACCTGTCACTTCTCTAAATCCTGGTCTTTCCCACATTCTTCTCACTTTCCACCTGAATGCATCACCCAGCATGAGACACACTCAGGGAAAAGTCCAAAGCGCTGGGTAGGTGCCCTGTTCTATTTAGAGGAGAAGAAGATCACTTTCCATACAGCTCAGCTAAGCAATGAGCAGTGGTAACTGAATCATCCAAACTGAGCACATCCGGGCGGGACACATTAACCATCAACAGGAAGGAAACTAACATTTTGGAACACACCAGAGAACCTCCCAGCCACCGCAGCTGCGGACTCGCAGAGCTGAAAGCTCTCTGTGGGGCCATTAGGCTGCTCTGCTACAGACGAGGTGCTGTCCCCCGCCCCACAGCCTCCTGAAGAACACCCTGTGGCTTTTCTACTGCCAGGCGCAGACTGGGACTCGGCGCGGTGTCGGATGAGGGCTGCCGCAGAGCATGCAGAGCAGCGATGCGGGTGGACTGCAGGCTACCTGTCATGCAGCACACACCTGCCTCCCGAGCCCAGACCCTTCACCCCTGGCCTGGCTGACATGAGACAGATGACCATGTAGAAACAGCATGAGTGAGTGAAGGAGCAAGTGGGTTAATGACCACAGGAGCAGCTCAGCCTCTGACAGTGACGAGGAGACACGGGTACCTGGCGGACAATCAGCGTGCCCTCCTTGGACGGCGTCAGGGCTGGTTCACTTTCCACGTCGTCATGGACAATCATGGTTTTCACAGATTCCGTTTCACCATTGCTCAAATTCAGAGCTGACCTATTGAGAAAAATCCAAAAGTGAAGGACCATAAATACTGTTAATTGAGAATATTCTGTTCATACTTTTCACCTTCTCAAACTCATTAAACAGGTCAGACTACAGGTAGAACATTTCCTTAAGGAAAACAAATACTTAGCACTTTCCCTTCAACAGATAAGTTCCTGACAGTACAGTTTGCTTTTGAGCAAAAAAATTCGAATGAATGCTTATCATTAACTTAAGTAGTAAAACCAATCTGAAATTTCTCTTTGATTGTATCTTCAAATTAAAAAGAAAAAATAAACTACACGTTGGGACCTGGTGCAAGGAACTGACATGCAGGCGCACATGTGCGTGTAAGGCCGCCTGCGCCGAGCCCACACCGGGTTCCACTCCCGAGTGCGCCTGCGCCCGGGCCCACAGACCGCGTTCCACGCCCGAGGCCGCCTGCGCCCGGGCCCACAGACCGCGTTCCACGCCCGAGGCCGCCTGCGCCCGGGCCCACACACCGCGTTCCACTCCCGAGGCCGCCTGCGCCGGGCCCACGCACCACGTTCCACTCCCGAGTGCGCCTGCGCCCGACCCACGGACCGCGTTCCACGCCCGAGGCCGCCTGCGCCCGGGCCCACACACCGCGTTCCACCCCCGAGGGAGCCTGCGCCCGGCCCACGGACCGCGTTCCACTCCCGAGTGCGCCTGCACCCGGCCCACGGACCACGTTCCACTCCCGAGGCCGCCTGCGCCCGGGCCCACACACCGCGTTCCACGCCCGAGGCCGCCTGCGCCCGGGCCCACACACCGCGTTCCACGCCCGAGGCCGCCTGCGCCCGGGACCACAGACCGCGTTCCACTCCCGAGGCCGCCTGCGCCCGGGACCACAGACCGCGTTCCACTCCCGAGGGAGCCTGCGCCCGGCCCACGGACCGCGTTCCACGCCCGAGGCCGCCTGCGCCCGGGCCCACACACCGCGTTCCACCCCCGAGGGAGCCTGCACCCGGCCCACGGACCGCGTTCCACTCCCGAGTGCGCCTGCACCCGGCCCACGGACCACGTTCCACTCCCGAGGCCGCCTGCGCCCGGGCCCACACACCGCGTTCCACGCCCGAGGCCGCCTGCGCCCGGGCCCACACACCGCGTTCCACGCCCGAGGCCGCCTGCGCCCGGGACCACAGACCGCGTTCCACGCCCGAGGCCGCCTGCGCCCGGGACCACAGACCGCGTTCCACTCCCGAGGCCGCCTGCGCCCGGGCCCACACACCGCGTTCCACTCCCGAGGCCGCCTGCGCCGGGCCCACACACCACGTTCCACTCCTGAGTGCGCCTGCGCCCGACCCACGGACCGCGTTCCACGCCCGAGGCCGCCTGCGCCCGGGCCCACACACCGCGTTCCACCCCCGAGGGAGCCTGCGCCCGGCCCACGGACCGCGTTCCACTCCTGAGTGCGCCTGCACCCGGCCCACAGACCACGTTCCACTCCCGAGGCCGCCTGCGCCCGGGCCCACACACCGCGTTCCACGCCCGAGGCCGCCTGCGCCCGGCCCATGGACTGCGTTGCACTCCCGAGGCCACCTGCGCCTGGGCCCACACACCGCGTTCCACTCCTGAGGCCGCCTGCGCCCGGGCCCACACACCGCGTTCCACTCCCGAGGCCGCCTGCGCCTGGCCCACGGACCGCGTTCCACTCCCGAGGCCGCCTGCGCCCGGGCCCACACACCGCGTTCCACTCCCAAGAGAGCCTGCGGCTGACCCACACCCCGCGTTCCACTCCTGAGCGCGCCTGCACCAAGCCACAAACTGTACATCGCTGGCTCATGGAAGCTCATTAGGGAACCGGTGGTCCCCAGGGGAAGACTCAGTGGGGACTCTCATCCTTTCTCAAGTACACTCAGACTGACACTGCTCTGGTGTCCTGCGGTCCGGACGTGGTTTCCCCAGCCCCTTCTTGCTCGGCGTCGTCGTCTTCCTCGTCAGTGGTCCCAGACTCCTCGCTGGATGAGGAGTAGTCGGTCACTTTGTGTGGGGGTCGCACATCCTCCACCGCTCGCAGCTCTTTAGCCAGTGCAGTCAAATCCTATGGCAGAGGACAGAAGAGTCAGGCTGAGGGGTGGGGTGGAGGAGGAAAACTGAAGGAATGAGTAGTTCTTCACTTTAACTATTAATAGCCACATCATCGGTTTTATAAAACCACGTGTTCCAGTGTTTACCAACATCGTAGGAAGGTGAACTCTTACAGCTTCTGACAGAAAAAACCAAAAAGTCTGGGTTCAAATCTCAAACCAGAAGCCATAATAATATGTTTATGATAACCTAATAGTATTTCTCTCAACCATAAAATAAAACTCTCAATCAACAAATGTGTGCAGACAGATCCTTGAATTTGTTATCAAGATACCTGCCTATGTAACAGTCTTCTTTTAAGATTACCCATAAAGCAAGATTCTAGTTAAAGAGGCCCATTTAAGTAGGTACTTGAAGTTTTTATTTTCAACTTCAACTTTTATCTTTAGAAATTTGAAACCTACAGAAAATGAGTGAACTGAGCACCAGTATACCATCCACATCTTGCTTCACCAGTTAACGAGGTGCCACATCCTAAAAATGATAGTGGGGTGACAGTGCTGCTGTGGGCAGGTGGGAGGGGCCAGCCAGGCACCTGTCCCTGCCTCATTCACTTTGCAAATCATTACCCTGCAACAGTGCCAATGAAGGTGAACATCAGAGAGAAAAGAAATCATTTCCCTTTACTATTCTATATTGAGGTATTTTAAGACTCAATTATCCAAATATAATTTCCATTATTATTCACATTCTACATTTTCATATAGAACTCTAAAGTGTATCTTTCTACTTGGGAATTTTATTTTCAAACAATGACATTTTACAAAGCAGGCTATGTAGCCACTTTTCCTTGTGTTTTGTTTGCTTGCTTGTTTGTTTTTTCAGTTTCAACAGTTTTCTTCTTCTCCCCAGTGAAGAGCATGTTTCTTTTCTGAGATGAGCCTCTGAAATCACAGTGATGAGTAAAGATCTTGAACCTTGCTAACCATTTTATGACTACAGTTGTGACTTTTTAAGAAGCTTTTTTAAATATATAAAAGCATACTTAATAATTAAAAACGTATGCAGCAAATTTTACGTGTTAAAAAAATGAAGCAGAAGTTTAGGGTTTTTCATTTTAGAAAAGCAAAAGGTGAACCGAGGAAGGAAAAGCAGTGTAGATGGAATATAAGCTAAAAGACAGTTAGAATGGTCCTCTGCGCTGTCCAGAGATGGGGCTTACCACTTCACTCTGCAGTCCAGCGGCGGTGCCATGGCCAGGGAGCAAGCGTGCACAACCAGGAAGCATGGGAGAGAGGGGGAGACAGAGCACAGAGCTCAGCTCAAGCAGGAAGTCACAGTTCCAACAGGCTCACAGTTCCGCATGTGTGCAGACAGGCCAGTCAGTGCGACAGGGTTAAAGGAGAAGTATGAGAAGGTCACAGCTGTCTCTAGGTACCAACAGGTGGAACTTAAAGAACAGGTGATTTTTAAAAAACAACAGAAAAGATTTGTTCTAAAAGCCAGTAAGTATTATAAATGCCTAACTCATCAAGAATGTGTAAAGGCTAAGGCAACGGAAAAGATAAAAGGCTTTTCTTTCCTCTATAGTTTTTAATGACTAAGTTGGAAGGGGGCACAAATGTGTCTGAGGCTGATGACATTCATTCTAACTCCTCAAATTTGTAAGGGGCCCGCAGAAAGGACTGTGCCTCTCAACTACGTATTTTTAATAGAAAGATGTCACTCAAACTTCAAATAAGTGAATTTGATTTTGTGCAATTCTTACAGCAGGCTTCAGAGGTCTAAACACTTCTTTTTTGTCCTCATTTTTTTTCGCTGTATTTTCAAGGCGCTGAGATGGAGAGCCTTCAGATTTGGATGATGCTGTGAAATTCAAGAGAGACAAGAAAAGTAGATATGTACAAACACCCAGATGATGCTACAAGGCAGACCCGGCCCATCAGTCTCTGTTTCTCTCCCCCTCATCCCTGCCCACTGCCGTTAGCCCCACACATGGCAGGGTCTGTCTCCACACACAGGTGTGGACTCCAGGGCTTTGACTTCGCACTCAGACTCCGTCATCACCACACTCTACTCAACACGTGCTCACAGCACCTTGTTAATCAGTAACAATGCAGAGGGAAGTTTCACTAATCTAGTATTAAGAGTAGGTTTAAATGACCAATATTGATGACAATATCGATGGAGTCTATAATGAAAGAAGTAGGTTCAAATTTTAGCTCAGACATTAAGCTAAATCACCTTGGACGAATTACTTAATCTCACTGCATCACAGCTATTGTAATCTGTCAAATGAAGACGATAAATCTATCTCATGGGGTTACTGTAAAAAAATGAGACACCGCAGGTAAAGTGCTCATGGTGTGAGTAAGCTCTCGAAAGTGATGCCTGTTGCTGACACGAGGGTGACTGCCCATGACGTGCAAAACCACAGGTCTGTGTACAAGACTAAGGGGTGTGCAGCACCCATCAGCCCAATGTGGTGAACAGGGACAGAGAACAGAAAGGCCCCCTACATCTCACTCGGAAGCGTTCCCCAGAGCCACTCTGAGACCCAGGGTGGGAGCCAGGCTGGGATCCTGAGTTGCTGGAGCCCGAGGAGCTGCCACTGCCAGGCCTGGGCACCAGCTTCTCCACTCTCTCCCACAGCAGCCTGGGCTCGATACTGCTGCTGGAAAAGAAGAGAGAAGAGCTATGCATTATCCCAAGAGGCAGCATCCGGTTACAAACAAGTGCATGCAATACAGGGGTGATGAGAGAAACGGCCTGCAAGCGACACTTAACATCAGACGCACCAGAAGTGACAACGTTCTTCATGGGTTTTATCTCAGACATCCTAACAAACCAAAAGTGCTAAAAGATACTCTGCCATTAGCGGACCCAAAATCCTAAGTAGGCATGAGAGGAAATGCAACTGCTTGGTCTAGAAGTGTCCCTTTCTGTCATAGCCACATTATTATAAAAAATTCTACTTTTACAAATTATGCACAAAATGATACTGTTTCCAGGCTGCTGCTCCCAGCCAATCATCACTGGCCTCAAAAACTGACCCTTATGCATATACTACTCTGCATGAGCGGTGTTGAAATGTGACAGGGAACACTGGCTCGACGTGTCCCTGCATGCAGAGGGCAAGTTCACTAGGGAGGAGCTGAGCAGACTCAGTCATGGGAGAACCCACAGTCCCTGCTCACTTAAGGACTAAGAAGGTTCTCTGCCACTTCTGGACTACCGCCCACCAAGGTGCCGCATGCACAGAGCGAGCCCAGAGGCTCAGTAAGGGTCAAGGACAACACACGCAACACAGGACCCTTCCTCCTCTAGAACACCCTGGTCAGTGAGCGTACTGCACTGGCGAAGAGGGTCTATGGCCGAGCGGCAGGACATGGCAGCCCTAGCTATCTCTGTGGCTATGAACACTTGACACATGGCCAGTGTCACCAAAAAAATTAAGTTTATTCTTATAAAGTTAAATTTAAAATTAGCTGTGTAACATAGTAGCCACTAGCCTCATGTGGCTAACAGCTGCCTGCAGGACAGAACAGTGGGAGCATCTACAAACAGTATCTGGTTAGTGACCAGTTCCTGTGGACTGCAGGGCAACCAGTGAGCTCTCCAGGGCCTCCTATCACTTCTGCCCGGGCTGCCCGCTGCTCCAGCCACTGACTCTCACAGGCAGGAGCAGTCTCACTTTAAGGCTGCCACAGTACACAGTCAGCTTCAGACCTCTTTTCACTAGAGATCAATGTGATGTTACTCAGGTTAATAAAGTTTATGGCAGTTTTTCCTTTATAAACTGATCTCTTTGCCCCAGAACATCCCTGTTTATGGACATTTTTGTGAAAAAAGATGACAGACTACAGGTGGCCATGCAGTACACCTGCTCATGAGCGTGAGCGTCTGCCTTTACCTGGTGGAGTTTCTCTGACCGGCCTGGCTGTTCTGCTGCCCACTGCCCTGCAGCGGGGAATCCCGACGGGACAGAACAGGGGAGCGTGACGTCGTTCTCACAGGAACCTTTGGGCAGAAAGACGGCTCTTAAATTCTTGAAAACACAGGGAGAAAGAAGATTTCCCTACCAAAAGTCCTGATGACGGTAGCCTCCCTACCACCGCCCCGCGCCCCCTGCTCACTCTCCGCCCGCCAGAGGCGTCCAAGGAGCCAGGACGGAGCCCCGCCATGCTTCTGCGGCATTCAGAGGGTGTTGGGACCAAAGTCTGGTGGCAGGGGACATACAAAGCACTTTGCTAAGATAACGTGAGAATCAGAAAATAAGCTCAAAGAAACCAAACAATGTCTGCAAGTGGATCAGTAGGAAACAAAGACTGGCAGGAAGCAAGAAAACACTCCGGGGAAGCATATTCCAAGTGGAGGGAAAACAAACCAAAATGTGCCTTGAGTCTGATTTCACCATTAAGTAATTATCAAAAAAATTAAAAATTAAAAAGTATTTTAAAGCAAAACAAACAAAAAAAAACTTCCTCAATTGAAAAAGAAAAATACTCGTTTTTGAAATTTTTGTTAATGGTTTTTTCCTTATAAGTAAGATCTTTTCTGAAAATCTGGATAACGGTTTATGTTGCAAAATAATTTGTTACTTCTGTATAAACTTTTATATTTTAGCCAACTGCTAAAATATATTTTGATTCTACTTGTTCTAAAAGCACATTCTTTACAGACTCACTCTTATTCTGTTACCTAGTGTTTAAGCATCAAGCCAACAACCACAGGAAGTGCTGGCCGACTGCCTCGGGCGGGATGGAGCAGCCCCACTGGAATTTTCTCCCGCGCAAAAAGTTCCTTTGAAATTGCATTGCCCCTTAACTCCGGTGACGTCACCATACCCTCAATTAAAATAAATAATTTTAAAAAATAATAAAAAGAAAAAAGCAGCACACATCTGTCTTTCTGCTCCTTACCCTTGGAGGCACCTCGCCACTGTCTGATCTAGACCAAGCCTTTTGGGTGGGGTCAGGCACCTCCGACTTAGAGTCAGGACTCTGACTTAGCACCTCGCTGCGGGAAGGTGGACATGGGTCCTGACAGCGAAGATGGTGGTGTGCAAATTTGGGAGGAGAAGGGTCACTGAAGGAATGGGATCTCGAGACAGGGGAAACACTGTTCTTGAGAGATGCCAGGTGGGACCACTGTACCTTACAAGAAAACAAAACACAAAACATTCAATGCGTTCTGCATAAAATGCTTTTCTGGTCAATACCAAATCCAAAGCAGGAACTGGGGAATGCAACTGGGTGCTGTAACATTAGGTAAGCCAGGCAGCAACAGTTATGCTTTAAAGTGAAGAAGTGATCTGGGGAACACAATATGCAGAAAAGAACAAATGTACACTTAGAAAGGAAACTTTTAATATCCAGACAAACATTACAGATCGCAGTAAACATGAAGATTAAAAGACAACAAAAGGCTATCGACCTCTGGTCTGGATGGGTCAGTATGTCCACATGCATGTCCATGTCAAAGCCGAGACTGGACTGGGGGGTGGGGGGCCACAGGATGAACCCTGCACACAGGAGACCTATCTACCCGCCCTCCTATTACCTGGCAGTATAAGATTTCTGACCAAGTAACAGTAAAACAGAACATTTAATGAGCAAAGACAAACCCCTTATGTTTTAACAGACTACAATAGAATAACTTAAAAACAGCCAACTTTTCAAATACACCAACAATTTTCGTTCGTTCTTCTCCCAAGTCTTAAAAAACTTAAACCCTAGATTTCCATACGTCTTCATACTAGTTAGGAAAAAAAGAACTTTAATTTCCTTAGAAATATTCACTACTATGATTCCCTAAATTGACCTTCTCTTTGACAATTACTTATTAACTGAGTTTATCTGGTTGCTTTTAAACTGGGAAAACAATCTCTGAAATAATCTGTATTTTCTTTAAAGTTTATTTTACTGTTTTAAAATATGTGTTCAATATTGCAATTTACATAATTCCAGCTACATGTGTGTGTGTATAAAAAAGATCAATGCATTTAATGAAAATTGGAAATGCCAAATCACAATTGATTCAACCTTCCCAAGAGCAAGATTCAAAATTAGTTTCAGCTTTACGAGTTCTGGGTGAGAGTCACATGAAGGTGTTGGTGCAGTCCCACTAGGTGAGAGTCACATGAACGTGTTGGTGCAGTCCCACTAGGTGAGAGTCACATGAACGTGTTGGTGCAGTCCCACTAGGTGAGAGTCACATGAAGGTGCTGGTGCAGTCCCACTAGGTGAGAGTCACATGAAGGTGCTGGTGCAGTCCCACTAGGTGAGAGTCACATGAAGGTGTTGGTGCAGTCCCACTAGGTGAGAGTCACATGAAAGTGCTGGTGCAGTCCCACTAGGTGAGAGTCACATGAAGGTGCTGGTGCAGTCCCACTAGGTGAGAGTCACATGAAGGTGTTGGTGCAGTCCCACTAGGTGAGAGTCACATGAAGGTGTTGGTGCAGTCCCACTAGGTGAGAGTCACATGAAAGTGTTGGTGCAGTCCCACTAGGTGAGAGTCACATGAAAGTGTTGGTGCAGTCCCACTAGGTGAGAGTCACATGAAGGTGCTGGTGCAGTCCCACTAGGTGAGAGTCACATGAAGGTGCTGGTGCAGTCCCACTAGGTGAGAGTCACATGAAGGTGCTGGTGCAGTCCCACTAGGTGAGAGTCACATGAAAGTGTTGGTGCAGTCCCACTAGGTGAGAGTCACATGAAAGTGTTGGTGCAGTCCCACTAGGTGAGAGTCACATGAAGGTGTTGGTGCAGTCCCACTAGGTGAGAGTCACATGAAGGTGCTGGTGCAGTCCCACTAGGTGAGAGTCACATGAAAGTGTTGGTGCAGTCCCACTAGGTGAGAGTCACATGAAGGTGCTGGTGCAGTCCCACTAGGTGAGAGTCACATGAAAGTGTTGGTGCAGTCCCACTAGGTGAGAGTCACATGAAAGTGTTGGTGCAGTCCCACTAGGTGAGAGTCACATGAAAGTGTTGGTGCAGTCCCACTAGGTGAGAGTCACATGAAAGTGTTGGTGCAGTCCCACTAGGTGAGAGTCACATGAAGGTGCTGGTGCAGTCCCACTAGGTGAGAGTCACATGAAAGTGTTGGTGCAGTCCCACTAGGTGAGAGTCACATGAAAGTGTTGGTGCAGTCCCAGATGCCTGAAGTGTTTACATATTCAGAGTCTGGAAGAGCACGGAGCTGAAAGTATTATCTGTAACTATAAATTTTAAAACATGAGTTTTAGAATAGAGCCCTACCTGAAAAATGTTTCCCGCAAAGAGAATGTTTTCACAGGTGTGTGTTTCAGCCAGAATCGACTTTACACAGAAAGAGGAAAGGGGACTATTTGAGGCACTACATTAATTAGTCATTAACATAAAATGTAGTCTATGTAATTCAGGAACTCCTATTTTCTAAACTGTCAATGGCCAAATAGATAAAGATTTTCTATTTATGGTAGGTTTAACTTAGAATAAAAACGTTAATCCTGGACTCCCTTAGGAACGTCATCAAACTTAATCTACCCTTCCCTTTCCCCTTTTTCCTGCCCTGCTCTCCTTTGCTTCCTTTTCCTTCCCATCCCTTACTCTGAGCAGCCAGCTGGCCCGTGAATCCGCTCTTCCCGTGAACCAAGAAGCTGCTGACCCCACGTGATACCCCCACCACCCAGCCCTCCACACACCCACAACTTATGGTAAGGTCCTGGTTCTTTACTCCTTAAATTCCTCCATACTGGGTGTATTCACTGTGGAGAACATTCGAATCCTCATTTGAATTTGCTTTTCAAAACACCACAGCTACTTCTACCGCGAGAATAGGAACCTCTGCCCCTCGACACACGCAAATGTCACAACTCTTTCCGCTGTTCTGCGTTACACAGCTGCACAGAGCACAAGGGCTCAGTCTGTTGTTTTCAGCGAGAAAACGGGGCTCTGGGAGCCCGCCATGGGCCTCTGCCGTCCACTGCCCCTGACCAGAGGGCTTCGAGCCACGGCGTCTCCCTCACCTGGGCAGCACAGAGGCTGTGGCCAAGCAGCAGAACTGGGCCCTTCCCCTACTGCTTCAGGGAAAGCCACACCTAACCCAAAGGATTGTTACTGTTTTTATGACCGTGAACCTTTTGAGAATCTGATAAAAGGCCCTTTTCCCAGGAAAAAAGAAAACATGCACATCTGGACACACAAAGCTTGCAGGTGGCACTTCGGGGTGGCCACAGCTCTCAGACACTGGCTCATGGGGCACCACGGTCACAGGGAAGAAAGGCTGGTTTGCCCTGTGTGCTTGTGACACTAACTTTCTAAAAACGAAACTGAAAAAGTCTTTATGTTAGAATGAGATGACACTCATCTATGAACACCCGAGTTAGGAAGACTAAGAAAAGAAATCACTGAATCTAGATATTCTTAATAAGATCAACAAAAATCTTTTAAAAAATTCCTTCTTTTCCCTATCAACTGAGGGTATGCACTGCCCTCTTCAGGTTAGTGTGATTGTGTGTCTTTTCTAAATGCGGTAACACAACCGATGGGAACACTGCCCGCAGGCCCGTGGCTCAGCCACCATGCACGCCTCGGCTCATGGCCACTGGCTGTCACTACCTGTGGCTCAGCTGGTCTCTGCAGGGCGGGGTGCACAGACTCGGAGTTGCCACTGGAAAAAGACTCTGATCTGGAAGGCACTGGCGGCTTACACTGCGCCTCAGGGGGGCTGTGGTTAGTGTTCCTAAGTCTATCTTCCACCTGCGTCGGAGAATTAGAAGACAGCTCAGGGTTAGTGGGGAGCAGACACCAAAGGAAGCCTGGCAGGGAACAGACAGCAAAGACACATTTTCTGTTTACTTCAACTACAAGAGAAGAAAGGGGTAGCTTCAAAAGGGAGAAGGCAAATAAAGCAGGACCAGGGTTCGATGCAGAGTAGAGAAATACTTATGAGAATAAAAGTTAAAGAGGCAGCCTTGAAGATCTCCTGGCAAGGGTTCTAGGGTTACACATGAGGGTGACAAGCTAGAAAAAAGTTAAATGTGCCACAACAACTAGACCAACAGATCAAAAGGAATTCAAAATGCATTTCATTCCAGCAAAAAAGGGCATTCCAGAGCACTGGTTCCGGGAATCGACTGTCTGTGAGGCCAGCACTGGTGGCGGGGTGCCACCTACAGGCTAGGATCCACTCGGGAGGCTGACAGGCTCCCCATCTGCCTGTATCCCAGAACAGTGACTGCTTTGCCACATCTTACTGCGGGGGCTCTCCCAGATGCACCAATTCAGTGACAACTCAGATCACTGAAAAGTCAATGCATCAGGCTACAGGCTCACCTCCTCCTCATGAAGTTCTGGATAAACAGTTAACCAGGCCACCATTCCCCTCATTTACATTTTATGGAACAATTTACCACACAATCTTCCCCCTCTTTGTTTAGTTTAGTGTTCAAGTCACTTGAGAACTGTTAACTGAGGCACTCTGGTGCTCTACAGATAAACGCTAACTGGACAAGGAACCCTGGACGAGTCCCCTCATTTCCCAGAACCTCAATTTCTCAGCTGAAAAGCGAGGGGATGCATCTTCAGCGGCACCGATGTCCCCTGGAGCATGAGCATCGCAGGAGCCCGCGGGGAAGCAGATACCTCTCGAGCTCTGTCGGTGGGCTCGCAGTGGGGCTTAGGCTCTGCGGCGTGGCGGCCTGGCTTACTCCTGTCCTGCGGCGGCGGCGGCTGCGGGTGTGGCCTCCGGTGGTCGTGCTGTAGAGACAGGAGATATGCTTGTTCTTGTTGCAACTGTCGCTGGAGCCTCTCTGCCTGCCGGTGCTCCTCCATCTCCCGCCATCGGCACTCCTTGGAGAGGGAGAGGAGAACACTCAATCTACAGGGCGCCAGAGGGCTGGCCTCCTCTCCAGTCTCTCAGCTCTTTCCTCCCCCAGGTTTTGTGACAAAGCAAAGTGGTTGGGATTTTAAATAGCATATTACCTGTGGAAAACCTGACAGCTTGCTGATAACAATAATATCACTAGACAGAGGCACAGAGAGTTCAATTCAATGTCAGTAGCAGTGGTTTCAAAAGGCACCTAGAGTGGGCTGGGCAGAAACCCTGTGGCAGTGCTCTGAGCCGCCGGCCCTCGGCACTCTCGCTCACTCACCGAATGCCAGCTTCTGTTCAAAACCTACCTACCTACCAAGCAAGCACGGTTATTAACGAGAAATGAGTAAATAAATAAAAGCCACCTGGAAGTGTCCCAGGCAGCAGGACCACAGAGGATGTCTCCACTCGAGCCTGTCGGCCCCAGCACTAACCAGCGTGGTCTGGTGATGAGCAGCGGTGCCCAGCTCGGGGGAGGGGTAGACGCGCACCCTGGGCTACAGAACCAGACAGACGCGGGGCGTTACCAGTAACATGGCCTGCTCCTGGAGCAGCTGCTGCTGAAGGACTTCCAGGTGCCGCTGCTCCTCTTCTAGCTGCCGTCTGATATACTCCTGTCACACAGAAATCACCCGGCAATCAGTTTATCCAAGCAGAACGCAGCAGACCACCGACGGGCACCAAGAACCATCTGCCCAGTTGTCCGTAGTGGTGCTTCACTCAGTGATGAATCGCTAACAAAAGCTATTGCTAAGGATTTTCCCAAGAACTTCAAAAACTGGCCACTAAGGCCTAAAGAGTCGAATCAATGATGACATGCACCCCAATGCTATACACACAGGTATTTGGAAGTATGTCTGTTAGATCATAGCTGTTGTACACAAATGCTGGGTTTTGAAGGGTTGTGATGTTCCTATTAGGAGGGCAGACACTGGAGAAATCAGGAGTTTACCTTTAGGAGACCAAAGGGTTCTCATTAATAAATGTCTGCTTCTCAGGCATTATTTATAACAAGCATGGGTTGCCAATTTTTAAAACCCCAAACCAAAACCTGTTTAATATGAAAATAATACAAACATGACTTGTGTTTTCTCCAGTGATACAGAAGGTACCTAGAATAGCTATATTCTGAAAGCCACAGTCTGGGAACACAGTCTGATGACCTCACAATGGGGTGGTGGAGGGAGTTGAGAGAGAGAGAGAGAAAGAAAGGAGGGGGCAGGGTGACTTGCTTCCAATGGGAAGAGAATGATAAAGAATGAACACAGGTGCCCTGGCCAGTTTGGCTCAGCGGTTAGAGCATCGGCCTGCGGTCCGGAGAGACCCCGGTCCGGTTCCCGCTAAGGGCACGTACTTCGGTTGCAGTTTGTCCCCAGCGCTGGTTGGTCGTGCGGGTGGCGGCCACTCGATGTGTCCCTTCACGTCGATGTTTCTCTCTCTCTCTCTCCTTCCTCTCTCTCCCTCCCACTCTATCTGTACAAAATATGGAAAAATATCCTCTGGTGAGGATTAAAAAAAAAGAACGAACACAGGTAAACACATCAAAATGTGTACATAAAGAGAATGAGTCCAACCCTGAATCTACCTGCATATCTAATGGGCTGGGAAATCGAGAGTCCTTCACCCATAACCTCCAGTAAGCCCCCAGCCCCCCTTTCCCCAGGCTCCTCTTGAGAAATGACTGTCAAGAATCTTCTCTCCCAGTTCTCAGGATGGTTTTGTGAGACTCAAATATGAGACAGATAGAAAATAACTTCAGAAAGAAGAAACACTTTACAGACAAAAGAAGTTTCCTTCCCTTTCAACAGGGAAAGAAGCTAACTACTCTGGAAGGGCAGTAGGACGAGGGCCTGTGAGGGCAAATTTTACCCTGGAATTCAGGTCACTGCTGACGATCACGTCCACCAAACTGCACATCTAACGGCAACTGAACAGAAGTGTCAGTTAACCACTAATTCTAATTGAGAGAATGCTGGCTAACAGGAATTATGACATAAATTTCCTTAGAAAGCTTTGTCTTACCAAGAAAATTTAGCTTCCCCCCTACCCCCCCAAAGAAACCCAGACTGGGGGAGAGCACACCCACAAGACCACTGCAAATGTGCCCTGACCCCACCCAGCACACCTGAGCCTGAGCCACCACGACACCTGCTGTGCCGAGCGCGGCCTGAGCAGGCTGGGTGGCTGCCTCAGCAGTGACTGAGACAGGCTCTGCCTGCCAACCCGTCTCTTCTTGGAATTAGACAGAATTAAACCATAAATTAAAAGATCAAGTAGTACACTCATTTGTTTTTGCCTTCAAAACACAAGGCCCACTGGAAAATTCACATCTATCCAAATCACAAGGCCCTGACCCAGTCAGTGAACACAGAACAGTCACACGTGCACATGCACATACACAGAACAGACACACGTGCACATGAACACACACAAAACAGACACACGTGCACACGCACATGTACAGAACAGTCACACGCACGCACACGGAATAGCCACACGTGCACACACATGCACACAGAAGTGCTTCCCGCAGCACTGTTAACATGCGAATACTTATTTTGCAACAGAATAAGGAAAGCTGAATAAAACTAATTTCTGATGCTATTTTCTGTAGAGGTGAGGAATACTTGCTATACACGAAAGCTAATGACTGCCATTAGAACAATAAAGACTAAGTATTATTTTCATACCATCCTCTCACAGTCGAATTGTGAGCATGTAGTGCATGTTTTCTCTTCTTTGCAGTCCTGAAGTATAAATTAGAATGCGGAACAAAACAAAACAAAACACACCACAGCTAACTGGGCGACAGTGTCAGTGCGCTGATGCATCAAGGCCAGCAGGCAGATTCCCAGGAACACTGGTACGGCTGCGCCCAGCGTCTCCGAAAACCCAAGGCAGATGGATACTCAGCATCAAGAATAATAACTGAACCGCCAAATTCGCAACTTAATACCATTGTTTTAAAGCACTTTAAGTATGAATCTCAACTTTTGTTTAAATTGGTCCCATCTGTACCTTTTTTCCTTTATTCCAAGCTCCTGAGCAGCAATGACCTGCCCAGGCCTGAAAGGCTGGGAGGCACACAGGACACAGGCAGAGACTCAGTTCCGTATGCACAGAGGGCTCAAGGAACAGATTTCTAAAGAAAACTATTACCTGGCATTAATAAAATGCTATAACTATTACTAAAATCTGATCTTTTCTTGGTTAAACATAACAATGTTAGTTTTCCTAAAATGTACACATGCACACCCCGAGTTATATGCAGATATAGTGAACATGCAGCTAGCCAGTGGCTGCTCCAAACACTATGCATAAGAAAGTTCTCACAGTTGGTTTTTAATTTCATGTAAGAATGGTGTGCTAGGTCTGCAGCACTCATGCAGAAGGTGAGACGTATTCGGAAACTTCTCAGCCACCACACTATGTGCAGACCTCTTTCTGGTTTCAAGGTTTCTAAAGTAGAACAATTTATGTCTTTTTTCAAAAGACAGAGACCTCCAGCTGTGTCTCAGCACTTGCACTCGCATGTCCTGAGTATGTGCACGCACATGTGGGTATACCTTCTGCCCCAAAGGCTCCAACTCGACAAAGTAACAAACCTCACAAACTCATGGCTGGAACATTCTCTGTAAACTCACCTGCTCTCTTTCAACTCTCCTCTTCTCTTCCTCTTCAGTCTCCTCTCCTCTTCCTCTTTACGCCTTCGCTCCAACTCCTCTAGACGCCTCTTCTCTTCTTGTTCCCTCCTGCGCTGCTCACGTTCTTGCTGCCTTCTAGCTTCACGCTCTCTCCTTTGTTGCTAGGTAAGCAGAGATGCAATCAGCAGGGTTCTGCTGTGGACCTCGCAGAAGTTCCAGCAAATGAGGGTGTTCACGCACCCCACCGCTGCTGGCCCGCTCCTCCACACTGCCCCTGGGCCCACAGATCCAGCTTCCTCAGAAACACTGGTCGAGGTGCTATCTCTGTGAATCCTTATTCCCCAGTCTTCACTGGACCACAGAAATTGGGGGACAGGGAATTCTTAATCCTTGAATATCACTAACAGTTCCCAAGGCCCAAGGTCAGAAAAAAAAAACGACAAAAGATAACAAAACAAAGAAAAATAGAAATAGGACAAATGGAAGAGAAAAACAATTGAAAAGAGGGTGAAAAAACAGCATTCACCAGGAAAAGAGGAACTGACATCAACCAGAGTAAGAAATGCCACTGAGTGCGGAGGACTGCCGTCGGGCCGCGCTCTCACTGAGTGCGGAGGACTGCCGTCGGGCCGCGCTCTCACTGAGTGCGGAGGACTGCCGTCGGCCCGCGCTCTCACTGAGTACGGAGGACTGCCGTCGGGCCGCGCTCTCACTGAGTGCGGAGGACTGCCGTCGGGCCCGCGCTCTCACTGAGTGCGGAGGACTGCCGTCGGGCCCCGCTCTCACTGAGTACGGAGGACTGCCGTCGGGCCCCGCTCTCACTGAGGGCGGAGGACTGCCGTAGGCCCGCGCTCTCACTGAGTACGGAGGACTGCCGTCGGGCCCGCGCTCTCACTGAGTGCGGAGGACTGCCGTAGGCCCGCGCTCTCACTGAGTACGGAGGACTGCCGTCGGGCCCGCGCTCTCACTGAGTACGGAGGACTGCCGTCGGGCCCGCGCTCTCACTGAGTACGGAGGACTGCCGTCGGGCCCCGCTCTCACTGAGTACGGAGGACTGCCGTCGGGCCCCGCTCTCACTGAGTGCGGAGGACTGCCGTAGGCCCGCGCTCTCACTGAGTGCGGAGGACTGCCGTCGGGCCCGCGCTCTCACTGAGTACGGAGGACTGCCGTCGGGCCCGCGCTCTCACTGAGTACGGAGGACTGCCGTCGGGCCCCGCTCTCACTGAGTACGGAGGACTGCCGTCGGGCCCGCGCTCTTACTGAGGGCGGAGGACTGCCGTCGGGCCCCGCTCTCACTGAGGGCGGAGGACTGCCGTCGGGCCGCGCTCTCACTGAGTACGGAGGACTGCCGTCGGGCCCGCGCTCTCACTGAGTACGGAGGACTGCCGTCGGGCCCCGCTCTCACTGAGTACGGAGGACTGCCGTCGGGCCCGCGCTCTTACTGAGGGCGGAGGACTGCCGTCGGGCCCCGCTCTCACTGAGGGCGGAGGACTGCCGTCGGGCCCCGCTCTCACTGAGGGCGGAGGACTGCCGTCGGGCCGCGCTCTCACTGAGTACGGAGGACTGCCGTCGGCCCGCGCTCTCACTGAGTACGGAGGACTGCCGTCGGCCCGCGCTCTCACTGAGTACGGAGGACTGCCGTCGGCCCGCGCTCTCACTGAGTACGGAGGACTGCCGTCGGCCCGCGCTCTCACTGAGTACGGAGGACTGCCGTCGGGCCCGCGCTCTCACTGAGTGCGGAGGACTGCCGTCGGGCCGCGCTCTCACTGAGTACGGAGGACTGCCGTCGGGCCGCGCTCTCACTGAGTACGGAGGACTGCCGTCGGGCCGCGCTCTCACTGAGTACGGAGGACTGCCGTCGGGCCGCGCTCTCACTGAGTGCGGAGGACTGCCGTCGGGCCCGCGCTCTCACTGAGTACGGAGGACTGCCGTCGGCCCGCGCTCTCACTGAGTACGGAGGACTGCCGTCGGGCCCGCGCTCTCACTGAGTACGGAGGACTGCCGTCGGGCCCCGCTCTCACTGAGTACGGAGGACTGCCATCGGGCCCCGCTCTCACTGAGTACGGAGGACTGCCGTCGGGCCGCGCTCTCACTGAGTACGGAGGACTGCCGTCGGGCCCGCGCTCTCACTGAGTGCGGAGGACTGCCATCGGGCCCCGCTCTCACTGAGTACGGAGGACTGCCGTCGGCCCGCGCTCTCACTGAGTACGGAGGACTGCCGTCGGGCCGCGCTCTCACTGAGTACGGAGGACTGCCGTCGGGCCCGCGCTCTCACTGAGTACGGAGGACTGCCGTCGGGCCCCGCTCTCACTGAGTACGGAGGACTGCCGTAGGCCCGCGCTCTCACTGAGTACGGAGGACTGCCGTCGGGCCCGCACTCTCACTGAGTACGGAGGACTGCCGTCGGGCCCGCGCTCTCACTGAGTACGGAGGACTGCCGTCGGGCCGCGCTCTCACTGAGTACGGAGGACTGCCGTCGGGCCCGCGCTCTCACTGAGTACGGAGGACTGCCGTAGGCCCGCGCTCTCACTGAGTACGGAGGACTGCCGTCGGGCCCCGCTCTCACTGAGTACGGAGGACTGCCGTAGGCCCGCGCTCTCACTGAGTACGGAGGACTGCCGTAGGCCCGCGCTCTCACTGAGTACGGAGGACTGCCGTCGGGCCCGCGCTCTCACTGAGTACGGAGGACTGCCGTCGGGCCCATGCTCTCACGAGGCACCCCACATGGTGCTATTTGAGATTTTTGTCTTTAAGTTGGTTTTAGAGAGAGAGAAAGTGGGAGAGAGACAGAAATCAATTTGTTGCCCCACTTTATGTATGCATCCTTGGTTCTTTTATATGCCCTGACCAGGGATCGAACCCACAACCTAAGCACATTGGGACAACACTCTAACCAACTGACCAGGGAGTATTTGATGATCTTTATTCCACATACTTTACTTAATATATTTCTCAAACCGAGGAAGTAGATACTTCATTCCTGTTCCACAGATGGAGAAAACAGGCTCAGAAACACAAGGGCGCCTGCCCGGCTAGCAACTCCCAGCTAGAAGGGCCACTGTCCCTAGAGCCAATCCTATTAACCAGATGTCACTCTGCAGCCCATCAACAGGTGCAACAGGTGACTCACCAGCCCGGCTCTGACAGCCCCCATCCAGGCTGCTCTAGTGGACCCTGCTGCAGACCACATGACACAGGACACTCACTGGCCCATCTCCTCGAACACTGCAGTGCCGTGTACCATTAACCAGGTCTTCCTGCAGGTGCAAAAAGGCGCTACCCTGAGAGGGGCGCTGTCCAAGAGCACCGCAGGTGATAAAACGCTGTCCCACCGTTCCACACAGCACCCACTAGCCACACATTGTTACTGAGCACCTGCAATGTGACTGGTATGACTGAGAAACTAAGTCTTTAATTTTATTTCATTAAGTTCATTTAAATAATCATGTAGTTAGTGGCTACTGTATTGGATGCACAGCCCAAGAGAATAAACAGTCATCAAATTTCTCAAGACACAAACCTGAATGTGACATTGTGATTAAATATTACAAAAATAAGACAGTTTGAAGTAAAGCATGGGGACAGTAGATACAAATATTTATAATGGTTATAAAAAGTATTTATTGTAATCTAAGTATTCTTTCTGGATTGTCCCTGACGCTCCACTTGTATTTGATCTGAAGGTAGACACTAAAAAACGACTTTCTGAGAAACGCCAAGTACATGGCTGGTGGGGTTGGTGGGCAGAGGGCTCCTGGGTGTCGGCGTCTCCGCTGAGCACATCATTCTCTCCAGGAGACGCTGAGTGAGCTGCTGGCCCCACCGCCTCCTGGTTCATACAGTCCCTGTCTTGTGGTTTTTCCCCTTCCTTGTCTATTCTTAGAATTCAATGCGCAAAACTCAGCAGCTCCCCCTGGGTGGGGGCAGGGTCATGAAAAGAGCTGAGTTCCAGTCCTGCTGTTTAGAAACTACAGCTTTAATGGCTGAGGCCTCTTCATTACATCCTGATGCCAACATGGCCCCATACAAAGCCCCTGCTGCCTGCCACTTGCTGGCTTAGTGCTTTCCCCTCGTTTCAGTGTTAGAAAAAGAGAAAAACAAGACACTAGAGTCTGCTCAGAATCTAAAGACAACTGGGTCAGCTGTCTCTGAGACAGGACTGGCAGGCTGGCTCCCTGCACCCCCGCGTTTCTCCCGTGGGCGGCACTCAGGGCCCTGCTCACTGCCCTGCACCCCTCAGTGAGAGAGGGTTTTCGTTTTAAAAACAAGCTACCAGAACATAAAACAAACAAAAACACTTCCCCCACCCCCTGACTCCGTGACACACGGGACTTGAGGCCAGAGACCTGAGCGAGACCCACCCAGACAGAGGTGCGGGAACCCTTCTTCTTCAAAGCAAAGGCCTTTTATTTTATACCTGTTGCATTTTCCATACAGGAACAAAAACACTGGTTTGTTTTGTTTTTTTACCAGTACATCACTTACTATAAATATACAGCTGCTTAGAACACAACCATTTTTCTAACACTGGCAATAAAAATCGTAATTCGCCAATTGGAAATATAGGTTTCTTTGCTTTTAAACAGAAACTACTTAATTCTTTCAGATATTGGTGGCTAGCCAAATTTTTCAAAGGAAAACATCTTCTCAACTTTTTTGTCAAGTAAAAACACATTAGAAGTAAGATGAAACAAAAGCTTTCCGATAGCCTGAAGCTGACTGCAAAGACGACCGTCTCGTTCAGTCCGTTAAAGCTCCGGAGGTGGTGGCAGGGGCAGCCGGCCGGAGCCTGGGGAGCGAGGGGCTCCAGCCCTCCGCCACCCTCAGTGACGCCCGCTGGCACTGCAGTGAGGAGCAGGGCAGGACAACGGGGACTCGGTTTATAAAGACAAACAAGCTGCTGGGACCCAGGGAGGGAGCAGACTCCTGGGAGGCCGGGAGGAAGGGTCCCACCTCCGCATGAAAGAGCCCACAATCACCAACATGGCAGCAAGCCTCCTACACGGGCACACAGACCACCCCCTCAGCCAGCTGGACAAAGGAAATAGAAGGTGAAAGGCAAACCAGGCTGCCCCCTAAAGTCCCCCCAGCGCCAGAGAACTCACATTCCAAGCCAATCAGCACAACACAAACAGGTCAAAAGAGGCAAAGGGTCTTACAT